TGGTCAGAAGAAACAACTGTCTCGTCACTTTCATCCCATAAAATAATAATGCTCAAGAGAATTTGCTTAAAATTTGATAGAAAGCATGCTGGCATAAAGGTCTTTAAGTATTGGATAGATGCTATCAGATAGTGATGAATGAAGCATGGATTTATCATTTTTACTTTGGAAGTCCTGTGGACTTGTTTGTGTCCAAATGAGATATTCAGTATCATCCCAAATTTCTAACAGACACTAAAGAATTTTTTGTTTGTTTTTTTAAGTTTTTTTTTACTTTCTTGGTATGACCCCTGTTGTGTTTTTTTTTAATGGACCCCAAATACATCATTTAAATTAAGATGTACCAACCATGCTAAATCATCACTAACTTATATATTGCATCTTCTCTAGTTTGTAAAAAATTATTTCTGCAATCTTGTAATATTTACTTGCTAATTACAATCTGATACTAATATGATATTCACAATTTACTTTTTTATATTTCATTAGCTCACATTGGATTACAAATAAAAAGATAGAATTTTAATTCAGCTTCAGACCTTTTTTAACTACTATGGTGGTATACATAACCACAACCATACTTGTTATGATTACATGGAAGTATGCCATTGCATATGCAGATATTAATATGGAAAACTTTCTTTCTTGTAAATGTGTCTGCTTTATATTTAAATTTACATTTCTTGAAAGACACAAACTAATGTGTTAGGCAAACACATGATTCCATTTGCCTGATAAACCTAATCAAAGCCTTCTAGCAAAAACACTGATCCCAACCAATGTTATTGTGTGTTTCTTATTTATACCAATTACAAAATATACCCATATATCTATTGTTCCTGATAGAAACAGAATTTGCATTTCAGAATTCAATTGCATTTCCCAGATTGAACTTATGTCGAGAAATCCAATTTATACTTGCAATCAATACCTGGTTTGGTTCAACTGAGCAAGCTTTATGTAATGATTCCTTAAAGGTTTTCTACCATATGCCAAGCTCTTTCCAACATACTTAAGTTCTCATAAGGTGCAGCCAGTGGTTCAGACTGATATTTCTTTAAAGAACCTTTCCCTTAGAGCTGTTTTCATGCTCTCCATGATGTCTGAGATGGAGAAAGCTTAATGCCTTTTCTAAAGAAAAGGTAGTTTGCCATTCAACAGTGATTACAATTCAGTTTCAGCATCATTCTGTAACTCCACTCACTTCAGAAATCTCAAATTTCAGTCATACATGCGTTGGAGATGATCAAAATTAACTCCATGTGCAGTTAGAACTTTATGGTTCTATTTGGCCACTTCAAGTGGGAGATATAAGGGTAGAAAATTTCCCTCTCTTAAAGGATGTGCTGGTATCATGGCACCAACCATTTATATGTGGAGTATCCTGTCACCAAGACCATCAGTTCCTTGTTGTTGTTGGGCTTAATGCCATTTTTCAGCACACGATAGACTATACATGGTGGCCAGTATTAATGGTGGAGGAAAAAAATTGAAAATTACCGAAAAAAACCCCACTGACCCACAAGAAGCTACTGGCAAGCTTTCTCACATATCCACATTCGCTGAATCCTAGACTCGAACCCACACAGTCAGAGGTGAGATGGCAGTGATCCGTAATGGACAGCGCTTTAGAAAGGACATTTCATTCTAAGTTTCGAGCTATTGCTACTTTATGAACCTATCAAACATATTCATCATAGAGAAGGTTATGAAAGCTGTGTTTTGGCCATCAATATACTACTTTCTCCTCCTTTCTTCAGTCTTTGTTGTACAAGAGCAAAGGCATTATTTTCTTTGGGGCCAACATTTACATTTAAAAAAGTTTTGCAAGCTCATTCCAACTTAACAGTAGTTGACATCGCTAAAAGGGTGAGTATATTCTATTTTTATACAAGTTGTTGAGATCATCAGCCTCCTACTACACTGGCAAATTAAGCAATGCAGTAGTAATATGCAATGTGATGCTGATATTAAAATGTATTTGGTAGGTAACACTAATTTTACTGATATAATGTCACTATTGCCAGATTGCCTCTTCTCATTGTGCTCTGATGTCCCACAAGTAGTCATGTCATGGTTCTTAAAAAAGGGCTAGATTACTGTGTATAGGCCTACGACATTGGGGGCGGGGCAGACAGTGTCCATCATCATGGCTTCATCTTCTGGATTTATAGAGTTTTTCATCTGATAAGAGGATGGAATTTTCTAATACAGACAATGATAATTTCCATCCCAAACATTTGTGCAACACAGTACATCATTAAAATTAGTTTTACCCATCCCCAAAACTACATTTTATGTGGACCAATAAAGACAACTGAACAATTAAAAACATCCATATTTTTATGTAAATTACCAATGTTTTGACCAAGGATTACATATTTAAGGTTTATGTGTTGTTATATGTATTTTGATTATCTTGAGCATTTACATTCTCAATAACCTAGGCATGAATATTTATGCATCCTGCTTAATTGGTTCATTTTCAGCACCACAGTTCAAAAATACCAGAATAGGTCATAGTGACGACATAAGTAACTAAATTGTTATTAAGCACTAGGCAAGAAGGTCAGAATATACCATTGAATGAAACCCTAGTGAAATTAAAAAATCTGTAATTGTTGCTTTTCTTCTTCATTTTAGACAGAAAGAAAATTTAAAATATATTTTTTAATTATTTGAATTAGATTCTGATGGTGACAGTAAAACTGACATCTTGTAGGAAATATTTCTGCATCTTTGTCACTTTGTATATACTTCAACAAATATATAATTAGTATGTCTTGTACTTCATGGCTTTGCTTATACAATATTTTCGCATTTATCAGTGTTAGAATTTGATCAGTGGTGCAAGAAAACCAGTTTGGTCAGGTATGCTGTACCATTAAAATGTTTTGTCAGTATATTTATACTGTAAAGATGGGATTGGGGCTGGAGGTGGTTTGGTACTGTACAAGGCAGAGTTCTAATTTACTTATACTACTTGCACCACTGATTTTGATACAACATGAATGTACCATATATACTTGCTTAAAAGTCAAGTCAAAATGCAAACAACAAAGTTCCAGATCTGTTGTGGCATATACCCTTGCCAATCAGGGTCTATGGTCTATATTGTTCATTCTAATGATTACTCTTAAGAAACTGCAGAGACCCAGACCTGCTGATGCATTATGCATCAGCAGATCTGGGTATGTGCAGTTTGCATTTGGACTCATAAGCAAGTTTGTACGGTAATATATCTACATTAATGAACAATATTATATTTAAATACTGAAATTTACATGTTTCATTACTATTTATTGTTATGACACAGTCTGGCATTTATTATGACATCTGTGATAACCTGTTGTTTCTTGCAGAACAAATGCTTAATTTTTTTGGTGCTGTTCAGATGTTTTTGTTGAATTTGTCTGTACTAAATATGATTTATGGCAGCTGAAGACAACATATAGAAATGAGTTATGTGATGGGACCAAACCAAACAGTTTTATTTTCACAGATCTCAAAGCTATTGATACAGACTAGCTGGCATTACTGATGTACATACAGTGCACATCAATGATAGATCAGGCCTTCTTTCCATCATAAAACTTCACTCCAAATCTTACTCATAAATATTCTAACCAATCAAAAGGCTGCATTTGTCAGTTTCACTTATTTCAAGTAATATTTCCACGTCTGGATAACATTTATTGCTCAACACTGAACTTTACTATACAAATTTTCAAATTAAGCTAAAGGCTACATTTAAACATTTCTACCAAGATCATGGAATAACACATTTTACTCCAACTCTTGAGTGAAGTTTCATGACAGAAGGGATAGATCTGCAGATCAAGATCTTTGCAGTTCGTTGTCTTGTGATGTGAAGTGAACAGTATATAACCTGAATTGTCAACATATGGAAAGGCAGATCTGCTTTTATGTTGTTTTGAGTTGGGTATAAAATACACAGTGAAGTACACTAATTTGTAAAGTTTGTATCAGTTTTTAAAATTGTTTTACAAGTTTTATATTATAATATTAACCATTGTTTTTCTTCAGTTCAAATCCAGTGCACAATTAGTGATCAAACTTTCAGTCCTAATCATGACTTAATACAGAACAGTTCAACATTTAATTATTTAAAGTTCATGTTTTGGATCACTATGCTTGCAAACAATTGAAGACAAATATGAGAGTCAAGGGGTCAAGAATAGAAAGTGCTTTATGTGAATGATGATAAAAACCAACATGTAGGATCTTTGGATATTTACTTGGAAAAGGACAGGGGTAAGGTGGACATAATAATAAGAAGCTTTATTTGGAGTTCCAGACATTATCCTTGCACTGATGTACTTCTTTTTTTATAAAAGGCATTGTATATTGTGACTATCAGGAAATTTCCAGTGCTAGCCTAAGAGTCCTAGATTGAGTAGTAGTATTTGGAAGATTTGTAGATTGCCCTTTTTCAACAGTTTATAGCATGCATATAAAATATTTTCATGTTTTTTAAAATTCCAACCAAATACAGCTAAAACTTTACCTTTCATATGCTAAATTTAATATGCAGTATATTTTAATTGTAGTCCAAGTCTCTGTCACTCCACTGACAGGTTATGTCAAATTCAATCAAGAAGTTCAGATTTTGCCACTACAGGGTGTGTTTGTTGGCATATATATTTTTCACTTGGGCATGGACTATATATTTCACATGGGCATAAGACTTTATACTCATTTTGCCACAGCAATAAATAACCTACTCTTTTGGTGTGATGTGATATGATTATGATTTTTAATGTAGCTTTTAAAAAATTTTCAGTCATATCGCTACGATGTCTGTAGTGTGGCAGTTTATAGTGATATCTAATACTGGGGCATCATGCTGCAGACATGTAGAATGATGATCCACCCAATCACATTATCCTGACACTATGCTGACCAGTCCTAACACTAACCTGTTAATGCTTAGTGCCAAGTGAGGCAGCTATTAGTACCATTTTTGTAAGTCTTTGGTATGACTCAGCCGGGGATCGAACCAACGACCTCCCGCATCCAAGATGGATACTCTAACCACTAGGCCACCGGAGCAGTCCTACTTTTCTTGAAGTGCACCAACACAAACCAGAATGCCCATGTTATCATCTTCTGTTCCTAATACCTCTGTCATATCTCATTTAGTATGTTTGTACCTCGGTTGTGTCTGACTTAGTACTGTTGACATACCTCATTCATCATCTCACATTTATTAATTGTTCCAAAACTTGAGTCATCTCCCATTTTATGACAGTTTGGACATCAGAACAGTGGCATGGTACAAATATTGTCCAACAAACCAAATAACAGAGGGCATGCATAACAAATACCCAATATAAAGATAAACAAGCTAACATTATATACAAGTCACACATATCCATGGAATATTGGCAAAGAAGTATATGCCAGCAAAAAGGGGAGTGGGATTTTTAATAGGCAATAGGCTCTAACATCACCTGTTGGCAGAATGATGTCACTGACTTGGACTGTTTTTAAAATTGTTGGTCACAATGACAGTTGTTGAAATTGTTCAAAATGGCATTTGTTTTTGGTTAGTAACTTGAATGGCAACCATATTTTAAAGTCTCACAATGAAGTCAATTTTGCTTGTAACATCAGTGATGTATATTGTGAAACAATCATTGACTTGCTATCCATCTGATGCAAAATAATTTAGAATGTAGATTTATATGTAATTTATTCATTTATTGTCATTCCTATTTAGACTGATCAAACTTTGAAACTATCGAAGAGAAAGATTTTTTTTTATAAATTTCATTTTTTGACAAATCATAGATCAGACCTGGTCTCATTTAAAATACGGCTAATTTTTATATAAATAGTCAGAATTGTTTATGTAAATTAACAATAACCTTATTAGCTCATATATTTTATTAATTTATGAATGGGGTACATTATTTAAATTAGAAGCTGCTTCAAAACTGGTACCTCACCAGTTTTTTTTGTATAGGTGATCCAACAGTTTTAACCTTTTAACTAAATCAAATAATAAAGCATTTAAAATAAAGTACCAAACAATCTGTTCAGTCTGTTTCAATTATCTTCAGTAGAAGACTCTTTTTTGGCTTTGTTCATGTTAATTCTTTTTCTGAATAATTGATGATTTTCATGTCAAAACATGACCCCATTTAGAAAATGCCATAGTTGACAAGAATTTGGTATACTGTACATTACACAATGCATCAGGTGAAGTCACTGATAATTCTGACAGAAAGAAGTCCCTTTATATTATATTCCTTTAGAAGAGGATGTTCAACAGAACATTTAATGAGTAAGATTATATTTAGTAAACACATAATTTTAGATTTGTAAACTACAGGACAGGCTTTCATCATTGTATGGCATACAGGAAGACTGTACCAGGTTTTGGTGCAAACAAATGAAACAGGGTTAATGTGGATATTTTAATTTTGACTTACAAAAACATGATATACACAGCCAACATTATTTTTATTTTATTTTATATTTAATTGTACTGAAATATGAATATGAATGTGGTTCATTATGAATGAACACCTTTGTCTCAATCATCATTGAGACTGACTAGAAATCTTGCAGAATATACTTTCTGTTTTGGTGCTTTATACATTAAAACCAAACTCCTTTGAGTGACAGTAAGCCCCTGTGATAAATGAAAAAGAAATGGGACTTAATTATCCTTAATTATCCTTAATTATCCTTCCATTCAAGCTGATATAAACCTTTGCCTGAATTATTCAGCAGCTTGTGGAATCATGGTTATAAGTATGGTGACAGAAAATTTGGATGACATTGTTTTGGAGTATGTAGAATTTGTAGTAAGCTGACAAAAAGACAGTCACATTGACTCATTATTACTAAGAATAAATTAATGTGTGCACAGGTTGTCCTTTACATTTTATCATTGTTAGCATCTCAGAAATAGTACTTGTGTTACAGCACTTGCATTCTACTAACAAAATAGAAAATACAAGACCAGTATTTGTTATAAGAAATTAAGTTTATTGTGCACAAGGTTAATAAATAGAGATAAATATGTTTCTCTATGTTCTTACACCCTTTTATGGGACAAAGATCAAGTCCCAATTTCCTTGAAGTAAAAGAATCATAAGGCACTTTTCTTATTGGAATCCCATGACCAGCACCCTTCAGAAGCTCAATGAAATGACAACCACTAATATGAATTCTTTCTGACACCCGCTTTATTCCGAGTGCTTGGCATTAATTCCGATAGCTATCTTTGATAAGTTTTTTACAAACTTGCAGTAATAACCATCAAATTCAAGGAATTGCCTCACTTCCTCAGGACTGTGTGGAGCTGGTCAGTTTATGATCTTGTCAATCATGTCTGGATCTGCCTCAACACCTGCCTCTGATACAACATGGCTGACATATATGACCCTTTCCTTGAAGAACTGGCACTTCTTTTGGACAATTTCAAACCACACTCCCTAATCCTTGTTAGGACCTTCTCCAGATTCTTAAAATCTTCATATGTTTTTACCAAAAATGATATCATCTAGATAGATGACACAGATGGTCAGATGCATATCTCCCAGGCAATCTTCCATCAATCTCTGGAATGTAGCTGGTGTATTGCAAAGCCTTATGGGTAGTCTCTCAAACTCATAGAAACCTAGTGGACCCACTATAAAGGCTGTCCTCTCCTTATGAGATTCATCTAATTCAATTTGATAATACCCTGACTACATATCCAGCACTGTAAAATATTTAGATCCAGCCAAACAGTCCAAGATATCTTCAATCCTGGGCAATGCATTCAACTGCCGAAAATCAATGTTCAGGGGAAGTTTTCCATCCTTCTTCCTCACTGAAACAACATTGCTGTCCCAAGGACTATGTGATATATGAATCACTCCGCTAGCAAGTAACTGATGAAGGTGACCTTTCACCTCACTGTACATAGACGGAGGTATCCGACGGTATCTTTGTTTAAAAGGTGTTTCATCAATCAGATTGATGCAATGCTTTACTGCTGCTGTAAATCCCAAATCTGTTTCACTTCTAGAAAAGATGTCTTTGAATTTCTTTAAAAGCTCTATTTCTTTATGTAAATCATCTTTAGACAGTCTATCCAAAGTGATATCCATCTGACTGAGGTCATCGACTAACTTCCTTCCAACCACATCTGCTGGGATATCAGCACATACACTGGTAGCAACTCACACAAAATAACTCTAGGTGGAATACTGATTGTCCTGGCAGTCATGTTTGACACATGAACTTCTATCAGACCATTCCTCATGTAGTTGTAAGTCAACTGACCTGGAGAAATATCTAAGTCTTCATTTACTGTGAACATCACTGAATTCTGAAGCAGATAACAAATTGAATTATAACGCACCTCTTTATCAACAAAGGTTTGCATTACTATTGCTTTCCACAATAATATCATGGGACTCTGCTTTATTCAAAACACTTAGACAAAGGTTTCTCTTTGCTAGCTTCTTTTCTCGCAAGGTCAAACATCTGAATATCAAATACCACAGAGCTGGCAATTGAGCTGTCTGTAGAAATCCTGCTCCATGCTTAATTTTGCATTCCTCTAGAACATGAATTAGGTAGTTTGTCTCTAACAACACAGGATCATGTCTACTATAATTACTGTCTGCCACAACTAGTATTAGACAATGTTGTCTTTCCATATTTGACAGACTGTTGCCATTATATGGTAACTTCTCTCCATTCACACATTCAATATTCAAAAGGTTTGCAATGGGTTCAATCAGAGTCTTTGTTATAAAATGTCTGGCTAACTGTTGATATGGTCAATCCAGCATCAATCAGTGAATTTACTCTTATCCATTGATGACAACAGAAACCTGATTAGCCTATCCCACTAGCTGTATTGTGTCAGTTCCTTTATGCTTCTTGGGGCAACCCCTTTGGAAAGCCTACTGCTTGCCCCCAGCCAAGGCCTCATAAAGTTTAAATCCTGTTTGAAATGGTCTAGTCAAACATGACAAGCAGTAGCAAAAGCACCAGCATATTTGGTCTCTTCTCTCATCAGGATTATCTGCCCCAAATTGATTCCTATAATGTTGCTGTTGGTTGGATAGGTGGCATGCTGAATGCTCCTTAAGCATCCTCACTTCATGTGACAGCTGCTGGACATGAAGGACAAGGTCCTTGTTTTGTGATGTGGCATGAACCCTAATTTAACTAAGGTCCTTGTTTTGTGATGTGACATGAACTCAAATTTAACTAAGGTCCTTGTTTTGTGATGTGACATGAACCCTAATTTAACTAAGGTCCTTGTTTTGTGATGTGACATGAACCCTAATTTAACTAAGGTCCTTGTTTTGTGATGTGGCCAAAGTTGATGCCATAGTAAGATGGGTAGATCTCTTGCTGCATTTAGCTCATCTTCCCATTGCCTGTGTTCAGATTCAATATGACAAAGGGCTACTCTCAATTTGTCAAATGTCTTGAGTGAGTCAAACTTATGGCCAGACACATCCTTAAGTGTCTGTTTAAGTCCTGTCCACAGCATTGCCCTTAGCATATCATTTGTCTCACTGGTCTTCACTAACCCTTTTTGGACAGCTTTGTTCAACAAATTTTCCAGTCTATAACTCCATATAGACATCTCTTTGTTCTTTTTTTGACAAGCACTATAGAAATTGGCTAATAAAGTCTCTTTCAAATCTACATTGCCGTACATGCTGTCCAGCTTTGATAATAACTCCTTAATAAATGCTGTTGGACCCAATCACAGTGCAATTCATCCAGCTTCTATCAAGGAATGTCAAATAGCATGAGATACCTGGCGTGGACATATATGCCTTGTTGTAAGCATGTAGCTGCGTATCTCCATGATTCATACAATGCTTCACTCTTCCTGTCTCCTAAAAATACAGATAACCTTAATTCATGTGGTTGTGTAACATACAGAATCAATGGCCATGGAAGTCATTGCATGTGATGCTCTCAGCTCTTCCTTAACAGGAATTTCACCCAACAAAGTGGTAAAGTCTGCCATCCACTTTGCAAAATTTGCATGTGTGTCAGCCATGGGTTAAATGTGAAGCCTTAAAC